TATGGCCTCAATCAATCAATTTGTTCAATTCAAAGGACTAAAAGAGCGATTATTGTTTGAGGAAATTAAGAGGTAAATGCTAGGATGACACTTCCTTAGAAATTAAGCATTCTATAGCAATTTTCTGTCAAAATCTGAAAGGACAGTTATGGTTTGACCCCAGCTTCGTTTAGGTTGAACAAGTCTTCACCTTCTCAATCAGATCAGCGGCATCTTGGACGGTGGAGATGTTCTCAGCTCCACCTTCTCCAATAGAAATGTCAAACTTTTCTTCCAAAGCCATCATGATTTCAACCTGTTTAAATTTAGGCATATCAAAACATATGTAAGATTAATACTTATTTATCTTCTATCATGTAAGATAGAACTAAAAACAGTGCTAGAATTTGAGGCCTTACAGTGTCAAGAGAATCAGCACCCAAATCTGAAAATTTAGTTTGCGGAGTCACAGTGGTTTCATCAATAGAAAGTTGCTTTGCAATTGTGCATTGGACAATTTGCATAGTTTCCGGATGAGCCTTTGCCCAGTAAAGGAAACACATAAGAGAAGCCAACAAAACAAGAGACTTAAGAAAGAAGTATTTAACAGGAGAAAATGGGAGAAAGAAATTATTACAACAGAGCAAGAGATTGTAGTATTAAAGCCAGCAGAGCGTGTATAGGTCACTTTTGTTGCCTTCTTCAACTGGACTTTATGTTTTAGCCCACTAAATACAGAACTTTCCTGCATAAGAAAACAAATTTACACATTTCATGAAAAGCAATCCTGTTTAAGTTGAAAAGAATCACTATAGACAACAAAATTCTCCCTCTGATAGAATATAGCCTAATTAAGGACTTGAATTTTAGATTTCTGGTTAAGTCAGAACAATTTTGACTTAGTTAATCCATGTCTCTACTACTTAAACAACTGGTAAAAGATACAAACTTAATTTGACGAAGAAAATGGTGTCTGTCATACCATTGTGGACAGTTTCTTCATTTGGTGAGTGGTTGTTGTTCTGACCCCAGAATTGAAGGAGAGGGTAGCCAATGAAATTGATGAAGTGGATAGAATATAAGCCATGACTTATTTGGGGAAGTGCTCAACCAGAAAACTAAAATTCCTAAGAACTTTATTGACTACACTCTAATGCAGATTTTATATGGGTGATGCCATTGAGAATATAAACAGATATAAATATATATATATATATATATATATATATATATA